AGAGTATGCCTTCTTCAATTATCATCCCTTCTGGACGATTTAGGTCCAACTGGACCTCCTGGCAGCTGGGATTTTGATGCTCTCCCTGGAACTCCAGAAAAGCTCATCGTATTGCTGCGACGTCAGCTCTGTCCTCCCAGAAAGAACGTTTATTGAAGAGCAGAAACAACCTGTGGTTCTGGGGCAGCTGACCAATGGTTTGGTTTTACATGGGCTTTTATACAGTTTTTTTTTACAGCATTTTGTAATCTGGAGGCTTGCTTTGTGTGGGTTTTTATTATTTGATTGGTTTTACTTGTTTTGCATAAGCTCATGATGGATCTTAATTATCAGCTTCCTGAACCTAATCCTGTCAGGCATGTGTAATTGATTTTTATCCTGTTATTTATTGCCTCTTGCCTGCCTTTCTTAATAGACAGGTGTTGTTTCATATCCTGTCCTTAATCCCATCATCTAGAGGTGAAGTTCTTTTGTCTTGTGAATAGCTGGCACAATCTTTTTTAATGGGCATAAAATATCTGCTGGGGGCTATTAAGACTGGGTCTGCCTTTTCTCTTTAAGATCATGTTTCTCCATTTCTCCCTTTGGGGAAATATAATATTCTGCCTCTTAATATCCCCAAAATATTCCTGGGTGGGTGGGGGGTTTCCCACAACTTCATAACACAATGATACAAGCCACTATTGCTCATGTAATGGGAGCTGTTTGCTATATTCTGACAGTTATTTAAGGAATATCATCAACTAAATCTTACTGCTCTGCATCACAAAATTCTTACGGTGAAGTTCCCCATAAGAAATAACTTGCCTGCTCTAAATATCTTTTGAATACAGATTTATGACTTCAGGTAGGATTTTGTAACACAAATGTCAGTGAGCCTGTTATAAATTGCTTTTGGCATCCACATTCTATCTTTTATTGGGCTTAGAGTATTTCTATCTGAAAGTGATAAATTCTCCTATAAGTGCTTTGTATGCTTCAATAATTACAAATATATGGAAGAGGTTTGTGCATGCAGGTTTCTGCATAGGTAGCTTTAAAAAACATATTCAGTGAAGGAAAAATAGGATGGGCTGAACCATGAAATGTTACTGAAGAAAAATAATGTGCCAAATAATTTGATAAATGAGAGAGAGAGATAAAAATACATGTTAATAAAGGTTTTTCAAGCACCAAGTATGGGTATAGGAAACAGATTTTATTTTCTACACAATTTTTGTCCCTTTTATCCAAAAAGGAAATTATGTGGATTAATATTCAAGTTTAAACTTTGCTTAAACTTGGATGATCTATACAGTTTATTTTACCAACTCTTGCTCCTGTTTGGATGCTCAAATGTAAAACATGTAGGAAGCCCCAAAGTAGCAGCAACATTACTTTGGTTCTGTGAGAAGCAAAAGACACCGGATGTTAGATAACAGAGAAAATTAATGTTAGCCATATTAGTGGATAAAACACTTAAAATGTTTAACTCTTAGAACTTATTCAGATAATAAATTTAATTTCAAACATTTTTCTCCAGCAACTGGAGTTGAAGAAATATTTTCATTGTCTTTCTTGCATTTATAAAATTGATTCTTGTGATATTGAAGAATTGTGATGTTTTCTGTGATCATGTAATATCTATTCTGCAATGTGCATAGCTGTGTGGCAGCGCTTTTCCAAATACAACTGGTGCTTAGTGGACACATTGAATAAAAAGAATGCACCATGAACTGTTTTTATAATCCCCTTTGGAACATCAATCACTAAAGATTGGTATGTGTTCCCAGGCATGGGAACTAGAAAGTTACAATCATTCAAAGCCAAAACATTGTAGTCATTTTTTCTGCATTGGAACTGGGCCTCTGCTGTCATTGTAGGATACACACACACACACACACACACACACACACACACAGAGTTCTTTTTGAAGGGTTTTTTGTTCTGAGTTTTCATATTTTTAGAATGGCAAGATAAACAATGATATAACTCAAATTAATAAACTAAATTAATAATTAATTTAATAATAATTAAATTAATAATTAATAAAATAAATTATTAATAAATTAATAAAAATAAATTAATAAAATGATTATCAGTTGTAATCAGCAAAAGGTAGCCAGTATTACATAACTTTTGTCACATTATATAGCACAACCATATTATTGGATTTTGTTATTTTGTACAATTTAAAACCATGTACACAATGCTCTCACCTATTTTCTTCCACAATAACCTCGTTAGTTGAATTGGGCTGAGAGAGAACAACCGGTCCAAAATCACTCAGCTGGCTTTCATGTCTCATAAGATACCTACCATTCTGCCATTATATATAAAGATGGGGGTCATGTTGTCAGGTATCTATTTTCAATGTCCATAGGTTTCCTAAAAGCATAAGCAGTTGGTTGTCTCAGTGGTCAACTCTCTAATCAATTGAACAGGGATCATTTGGGAAAACATTGCACAATCTATAATTCCATGCTGGGATTTCCAACTACTTCAAACAAAGGCAGAGTAAGGAATACAGGTAGTCCTCAAGGTATGAATTAATGGAGCCTGCCCATTAGGTTCATAAGTAAAAAAAAAATCATCAAATGAATCAGACTCAATTTTACAAATTTTTAAAATCAAATACAATGGCTCATTAAATGGCTCATGAATCCAATGGCTCATGAATCCAATGGCTCGTTAAAGATCTGACTTACTTCCCACTTACAATCAGCTGTTTTCGGTATAGCCAAAGGAAGGAGGAACTAAATTGCCTCCAATCAGTTAGCTGAGCTCTCCATTTACAGTTTTAAAAATCCCATTTGCTGCTGATCAGCTCAAGCTTCTTGACAGTTGTTCAGAGGAGGTGGGCCAGTAATTTACAGTACTCTCCTATTGCAGTTGCTTTTTTTAAAAAAAATACCTGCCACTAATTACCAGTAGCTTAAGAGTCTCCAGACAGGCATCGGGGAGATTTACAGAACTCTTGGCTTGCAATAGTAACACAGATGGAAGGGACCTTGAGGTCATCTAGTCTAACCCACTGCTCTCACAAGAGTATTTCTAATAAATGCCTATCCAGTCTCTTCTTAAAAGCCTCCAGTGATGGGGCCATCCACAACTTCTGGAGGCAATTTAGATTTAAAACCTCTTTTCAAAAAGCTGCCCTGATCAGTGCAAATCTCTCCAAGCCAAATCCAGAAACTCATAAACAGCTTGCAAACTTGAAAATCAAAAGTTTAGAGAAGAGATACAGCACACAACATTATAGAATGCTTTGTGTAGATGCTGGCTAACATTTCTACAAGTAGTTTCAAAACAAATGCAAAGAAACTTCATCTATGCAAAGAACTGTACTTACAAACACAATACTGAAAAGTACTGCACAGCAAAGTATAGCAGAGTACTTAAAAAGAAGCAGAACAGTTTCCAAAGTGCTTACAAGCAGTACAGTACAATCAGAGGTGGTATTCAGCAAGTTCTGACCAGTTCTGGAGAACTGGTAGTGGAAATTTTGAGTAGTTCGGAGAAGTGGCAAATACCACCTCTGACTGGCCCTGCCCTCATCTATTCTCTGCCTCCGGAATCCAAGCTGATCGGCTGGGTCTTATTTTGTTGCCCTACACAGGAGAACGGAGCTGGAAAGCAGGTTAGTGGGGTGGGGAGGGAATGGGATTTTGAAGTAACCTTCCTCCAGGAGTGGGGAGGAAATGGAGATATTGCAGTATCCTTCCCCTGCCATGCCCACCAAGCCACGCCCACAGAACCAGTAGTAAAAAAATTTCAATCCTACCACTGAGTACAATGGTGTAACAAAAAGGAATATTTTAAAATACTGTCACCTGTCAGAAATGTAGCACACAAAATTATCTGCTACAATGTTCTACCAGTCAATGACTACTTCAGCTTCAACCACAACAATACAAGAGCACACAACAGATACAAACTCAATGTAAACCGCTTCAACCTCAATTGCAGAAAGTACGACTTCAGCAACAGAGTGGTCAATGCCTGGAATGCACTACCTGACTCTGTTGTTACTTCCTCAAACCCCCATTCCTTTAACCTCAAACTAACCACTATTGACCTCACCCCATTCCTAAGAGGTCTGTAAGAGGCATGCATAAGTGCACCATTGTGCCTACCGTCCCTGTCCTATTGTCCCCATTTATTTGTACCTATTTCGTGTATTCTTACTCATGTTTATACTTATATCTATTATCTCGTAAGCAATTGACAAATCAAATAAATAAATAAATAAATGGTGTAGGGTCTTCTGCTTGGGCAGGGGGTTGGACTAGATGACCTAAAAGATCCTTTCCAACTCTGTTAATCTGTTAAAATATGTTACTACTGCTACACTCAGCTTCAAAACAACAAACGAAATTATACGGGAAAAAACAGCCACATGTTTGCAAGACAGCTTTAAGACTTATGGACTTCAACTCCCAGAATTCCTCCTCCAGTCATGTTAGCTCAGGAATTCTGGGAGTTGAAGTCCACAAGTCTTAAAGCTGCCTAGTTTGAAGACCCTTGGCGTACGTGTTCACTTCATTTAACAAACCTCCTTCCCGAGAAACCTCTATGTGAACAGGGGGCAAAAGATCGCAGAGCTCGTATCAAAAGTTCCACCCAGCGAACGAAACGATCAATCAGAGGCGCGAGACGGTAGCGGCATACGCATGCGCATACACGCAAAATTTTCCTCAGACCCGGAAACTTTCCCCTCGTCGGGCTTTTCGCCGCGATGCTGAAGGCTTGTTCGAAATGCTTCGTGCCTAATGCATCATAGAGTTACTTCACGCGAGTCCTTGACTCTTTCTTCCGTTAACTAAGCGGGGATTAGAATTCCATAAGGATGAAATCACCGAGGTTTCCCCCGCCCCTATTATTTGCAGGGGCCAATTAAACGAAGTTTCAAGCGGGGCTATGAAAGCCGGCTACCGAATCTCAGCCCTCGCTTACAACCTCACGCATGCGCCCTCGGCAACTGACATGCGCATGTTGCATAAATCGCAAAGCGCGCAGTTTGAACCGATTCTTCGGGGCTGGGTTTGTTTGCCTTCTGGCCTGTATTTAGCGGGAAGGGAAGAATTATGCGACCCCGTATATTTCGGAGCCGTTCCGGTAATGAACCCGCCGGCCACATGGCGCAGGAGCAGCAACCGCAGTCCGGAAGCCCGTGGAAAGAAACGCGGCTGGCTTTGAAAAGCTTGGGCGAATGCCTGAAGTGCTCCCTTTGGTAACCGGTTATGCCTAAGCAAAAGGAGGGCGGAAGGGATGGCGCAGAGGCTTTGGATGGGGAAAAGGGATTTGGAAATTAAGTCATCTTTGCTGTTATCAGTGGTCCTGCGGATGCTTCCAGTCCAGAACTGATCCAACAGAGCACATTGTTTAGTGCAGGGGGTTCCAACCTTGGCAACTTGCGCATAAGCGCACCAACGTGCCTACCGCTCCTGTCTTAATGTTCCCTTTTATTCATATCTATTTCATGTATTAATAATTATGTTTGTACTTATATATATTATCAAGGGCATGCTTGACAAATTAAACAAACAAATAACATAAATAAACAAACTTTAAGACTGGTGGACTTCAACTCCCGTGGTTGGAGACCCACCTCCCCCCCCCCCGCCCAGTTTAATGAGTTATTTTTATTTATTTATTTATTTTTGTCAATTGCTTACAAGATAATAGGTATAAATAAAAGCATAGTTATGAATACATGGATACATATAAGGAAAATAAAATAAAAAATAAAAGAAACAATAGGACAGGGACGTTAGGCAAGTTTATGCACGCCCCCTACAGACCTCTTAGGAAAGGGGTGAGTTGTGTAAAACTTGTCAATAAGAAAAAGCTAGGGAAATTAATGATTTGAGATAGCATCATATATATTGATCTACTCCAGCCTTTTCTGGATCCATATAAAATGTTCGGCAAGTGGCATTTTTAACAAAATCATATGGCAGAGAATATATCTGACCATTAGTGAGGGATGTTTTTGTTCATTTGCTTTTTGTTTGTTTTTCAAGCGTGTACAAGCCCTTGCAGTTTTCATGGCAGGGGTTTTTAGAAGTGCTTTGCCCTTGTCTCCTCCCTTGAGCCCAAGCATAAAATGAAGTAGAAGTCATGCTCTCTCCCCTGTTTCTAGCCCAATGTCTCAGCCACCACACCAGATTAGCTCTCAAATTTTGCAAGCAAAATTATTTTAATTTTTACTTTTAGATGTGGTTCTCCTTGAAATGGGAGTTTGCAATTGTAGATGGGATTACTATAATTGAGTGCTATTCCATAAGATAGGGAATTCCTTAAATATAGACATTTCCACTTATATTCAGAGGATTGTTTTCTTTGGAAGAGTGTACAGTGTTGTGATTCCCTATCTTACAGATTTCCTAGATAACAGTTAATTACGTTGTTGGCACTGGTTATTCTTCCTCAATGTAGAATGGGTCAAATGAATTAGGAATTGCAGTCTCAACAACTAGGCTGCCAGGTTATAAAGATTGACTTGGGCAAGGAACGTTACTTTAGATAGTATACTCTATTTCATTTGTGTTTGGGTTCTGATATCTCAGTGGCAAAATCACACTAATATTGTAGAATAAATAAAGGGTTTCAACACTGGTTTGCACAGTTGAAGGTAGCATGCCATTAAAACCTTGTTATCGAAGTTGCCCTGAATGTCCATGGATCTTGATATTTTGGTTGCAACCCATCTCTTCCAGAAACAGACATACAAAAATAGCCTGTAGCTTCTTATCAGCACATATAAAGACAGCTTCGTTTCAGTTTTCGCTCATGCTATAAGACACTGGAATAAGTAGCAGCTAGGGAAGTAATCATCCTATTAATGTCTGCCTCCCTCTGTGCAGAAGACCCTATGATATTTGTATAACACTGTTGAAATTTACCAAAAGAAATACCATGAGAAATAACTTGAACAATGCTGTAATTAATTATTGATTGTGAAAACGCAGATAGAAGATTCTTTATTTTCTGGGTCTTTAGTATGAATTTTGTGGACTCCTCTGTTTCTATTCAGCTCTGTGCCTCACCCAATTTTATTTATCAAATTCTTTTAATTAATAATTAGGAAGCCAATATGCTGCAGTGCACCAATCTTTATTTTCAGCAGTGCTTCTAAATTCTGTATATTCCCTTGAGGGGTTTTGAAAAATAAGCAATACTTCGTTAAAAATAACAAGGTATTGTTTATTAAAGAAAAAGGGCTGGAGGTGGTGGTGACAATGTGCCCATCTGCTCAATAGTGGTGGGAGGTTAAAAGGAGTAGCAGCAAACAATTTATCTGCTTTGCCGCTACCAAATGGATGTTTTGTGTAGCAATTGGATGAGGGAGTCCATAGCACAGTGGTGGGATTCAAATAATTTAACAACCAGTTCTCTACACTAATGACTGGCTGGGTAAGTGTGGTTGGGTGGTCATGTGACTGGGTGGGTGTGGCCAGCTCGACGTCACTCATCACACCCAACCCCGCCTCCCGGCCACTCTCCCTTTCCCCAGGCCTTGGGCCTATACGCAACACCTCCAGAAATGAAAGGGTTAACCAACCCTATTTCCTGGTGCAAATGCTCCCTCCCCTGAGTGAAAGGATGGGAAGAGACCAGCAAAGCATTCTGATCCCATCTCCAAGGAAAGTAAGACATTGGAGGCTGAGCTTATTAAAAAGCAATATATTGTGTCATAACAGTCAGCATTTCACACCTGAGGTGGCAGAGGCAATAAATCCCATTGACTCCTCAGAAGCTATTTACAATTAAAGCCTGTTTGCACCCCCAAAATAATAAATAAATAACAGAAGGAGAAGGATTGACAATACCTTCTGTGCAGGCAATTATGAAAGAAACTAAGCTAAAGCTGGATTAACCCCTGCCTCCCTTCTCTCCTTCCTTCCTTCTTTCCCTTCTTCCTTCTCCTTTCCATCTCCCTCCCTCCCTCCCTTCCTTCCTTCCTTCCCGGCTGCTTTTTGCCCGAAAACAGCCTGAAAATGGCTGAAAAATGGGCTGAAAAACAGCCCCCAAACAGCCATTTTTTGGACCCTTTTTGCCTAAAAAATGGCTGAAAACTGCCAGAAAAAAGGCCTGAAAATGGGCAAAACAGCCATTTTTTGACTTTTGGGGGCATTTTTTGCCTGAAAAACAGCCGAAAATGGCCCAAAAAACAGGCGAGGGTGGGGCCAGCCAGTGGTGGGATTAGCCGGTTTGCCAAACTCTGCAGAATTGTAACGACTGGTTCCCCCAAATCTGTCTGACCTAGCTGAATCCCACCTCTTCCATAGCATGATTTCAAAATTTTAGATGTGCTCCCATGCTAAAAAGATTAGGATCCCTGATCTTTTTCAAACAATTGAGAAATATAATGAATTTGATGAGCCTTGATGCAATCAAACAAAGCTTTAATTACTGTAAACCTACATGCATCTGCTTTAGAGGGAAGCTTAAACTGTCCTCCAGATTCTAAAAACACACCCATGTATTTGCAGCCTGTCCTTGACACCACATTGCTAGCCATGTTTTTCTGTATTGGAGGTGGAATTCTTGACAGGTAAAACTTGTCCCAAGAGGCAGCTGCCTAGAGAGATATTATTTGAGTACAAAAGATGAACACATTTTTTTCGTAGTATCCAGTTTTTTATGTTAATGTAGGGGAAAACAGTGTTTACCTAGCTTATTTATCTTGATATTATTTATCTTGGGGATGCAATGAAAATGTGTCCATTCTAATATTTAGGACAAAAATAACTCAATTCCATTTATTCTCTTCTTGACAGTACTAAAATTCTGAAGAAACCTGTGAACCTAGCAACTTGTGATCATGTCTTCTGTCTGTGAGTCATGACATAACTTTATGGGAGATGAATAGTTAAAAAATGTGAAAAATAAATAAAAATTGTTATATAGCTTTTCCCAAGCTTGCCTATTTTGATCATATTTTTAGTCTGAAGTAAATATATGTTATTGCTTTCTATTTGTGGCTGCTAGTATGATTATATCTTCTTATGTAACCATACATGTCTGTCTCAAGAAAGCACTTATTTGTTGTAATGTTTTTTTTCCTTTTTATCATTGTAGATGAAATAAAGATTAAATTGTTTAAGTCTCTGTTAGGTTTGACATATTTATTATGCATTTAAATGCCTTCCACTCCACACAAACACACACATCATCCTATCAGTATAATATTCTAGAAATACTCAGAACCTATATATACAAACTACAAGTAGTCTTTGCTTACCTATTCCTCGTTCAGCGAACCTTCAAAGTTATGACAGTGCTAAAAAAATAACTATAACTAATGCTGCATTTTCAACCTTTGCAGCATACCTCAGTCATCTGGCATTACAATCAATATACGTTATCCTTTGCCTGTTGTTAAGGAATTATAAGAGAATAAATAGGCACACAATGGAAATACGTATCAAAGGTCTGTGTTGCCAGTCCTTAGCACATTCTGGATTGGAATGTTGAAGTACATTATGCAAACAGTCAAGTATATTACTTATTCTGTCCCTGTTTACTGTCTTGTAATGTCTTCCTCTCCAGTCTCTGCTCTGTGAAACTGGGGGAAGGTTGGGAGGAAAAACAACCCCAAGCAATCTCTTATGCCTGACCCTTTTTTGTCACGTTGCTTTCAATGTATATTCCCTATTGTGCCTGCTTATCTAAATGACGACTTGGATTATTTTTTGCATGTCTTTAGAAATAGTACTTCATATTGCATATGATGCTGGTTCTACTACATGTAAGTTTCATTTGGAGTGGATTTCCCAGATTAAATTAGACAAGTATAATTACTTGTTCGGTTGAAATAGTTGTAATGTATTTTAATTTTATCTTATATTATTTTGTAAACCTTTTCATGTAATATTTGTAATATTTTTCCTCTCTCTTTCCTTTTAAAATAGTGTTTTTAAATATATGATATAAATATTAGAGCAATTAAAAAGATGACTGTAAAGAGATCATTCTCTAAGTAAACCGGTTAAGTAAATAAACTGATTCATATAAACATAAGCAAGTATGAAGCTAGCTTTTTTGAAATTTTTGGTTATGCATAGCCTCAGTTAATCCTGGCAACACCAGAAAGGTAAAATTTATAATCCAGAAAGAGGGAGCATGCAAAAGTTAATGCCACTGTCCTCTCTGTAATTTTTCTTACTTGTGCATTTTGTTCTAAATTACACTTTGGTGTGACGTATGAACATAGATTTTGTATCAAACTATTAACTTATATAAGCTATCAGTGAAAACTTCACCATTTTAAGTGCATTATAAACAATTGTCTTGTTCTTATGTATTTTAATTTCTAAGATAAAGACTTATTTAACCATGTGTTAGAAATTATTGTTTGTTATCCAGATGTAGTTTTTCTCATGAAACCATGTTTATATTTTTCAGAACTTGTGTAGGCACAGCTTGCCCAATATGTCAGGTACCAATCATGAAAAGGGATGTGAAAATAAACAGCAAACTAGTCATCATCATCAAACTCTACAGCAAATTGCAAACTTTGCAGGACAAGAACTTCTCAGGTAAATGAAATAATACTTTTTAAAACCTGAAATTATGTAGCTTGAAAGAACAAAACCATCTTTCAAGACTCTTTTCCACTATACATTTAAAATGGACTGTAATTACATTTTGGTGTCATTTTTGTATAACTTGACATTTTTGGTGCTGCTGCTGTTATTATTGTTATTCTTTGGATGGTGATATTATTCAGTGGATGGCATTCCTTCTTTTGAGAGCGAGGCATCAGAATTTCATTTTAATATGTGTTATTGTACATACAGGTAAATAACAGATTTTATATTTTCATCTTATTTTATCTAACTAGAATCTTACTGGTCTGATATTTGTTAACATTTCCTTTCTGAAGTGGCAGAAACACTGGCATTCAGTAGGATTTTGACCCCTAGAGATGGGGAAAACCTAATAAACACCAGCATTCTGAAAGGCTCAGAATGTTGGTATTCATTGGCATTTTTGCCAGATTTGGGGTTGTTCCTCTAGTGTGTGGAAGGATTTCCCCTCCCTGTACAGAGGTGAGGGAAAATCCCTTGGTGCACTGGGGAAACAGACCTCAAATCCAACATCCTTTTGCTTGCAACCTTTCCTGTTGGCTTCCACATTGACTTTTGGGATAATAGCAATAGCTCTTAGACTTATATACCACTTTAAAGTGTTTTACAGCCCTCTCTAAGTCAGCATATTGCCCCCAACAATCTGGGTCCTCATTTTACCTACATAAGAAGGATGCACCTGAAGCAGTAAAAGAGGAAGTAGAGAAGAAGACCCCTTGTTAATTCCTTAGGTTGGAAACCAAACAAAGATATTTTCATAGACATTTCATTAGAGATTCTCTATTGGCCAATTGGAATAAAATAAGGAAAAACATTATTTAAAGATCCCTATCTGGCTCTCAACAATGGAGGCGATAATTCACCTGAACCACTTAGATATTAATAAGATGTTAAAGCATGAAGATTCATTGGATATACAAGGAAATTTGAAATTATGGCAAGACCTTCAGGAACAAGGGTTACGAATTGACCGGTGGGCATATCTTCAAGTCCAGAATAGATATAGACAGGACATGAAAGATTTCGGAATCTATAATAAACCACAGCAATTAGATAAAATTTTATTAGGCCCAGATAAAAAATAATAATAACATTTTATAACTATTTATTAGAGATAGAATTAGAGGAAGAAATAGTTAAAGGTAACGTGATAGCTTGGAGTAGTAATATAGCCGTAGCATTACTTTATCAGAATGGGAGAAGATCTGGAACAGAAACAATAAAATTACAAAATCGGCATCATATAAAGAAAATGCTTACAAAATGTTTTATAGATGGCACCTACCCCCTTCTAGATTAGCGAAGATGTTTCCCAACATGAGTCCTAAATGCTGGAAGTGTAAAAAGAAAGAAGGAACATTTTACCATATGTGGTGGTCGTGTACGGAATCTCAAAAATATTGGCTGAGAATAAAAAAAATGGATGGAGGAAATTACGATTGAGCAGATTGAACTTAAACCAGAATTCTTCCTATTAGGGATTCTCAACAGACAATTCCCCCCAAAAGTTAAATATATAATACTACATATATTGACGGCAGCTAGATTGGCCTTCGCACAATGCTGGAAACAATCCTATACTCCACCAGAGGAAATGATTATTCAGAAAATATCAAGCTGTGCAGAAATGGATAAACTAACTCTAGCACTAAAAAATAAAGAACTATCAGAGTACTGTATGAGTTGGAACTGTTGGTATGAGTGGATAGACCGAAGATAGACCATATAATTATAATAATAATAAATTGTAAATGAGGAGTGACTAGTAATTAGATATTTGCACTAAAGATTAATTGCAAATATGGCACAAAATAATGAGATAAATAAGAAACCACAAACTGTTGATGATGTAATCATTTTAAATTGTTTACCCTTTTTTGTTTTTCTTTCCTTTCCCAATCTGTGTGTGTGTTGTTTGTATATTTTAACGGTAACTTTTAATAAAGTTTATTACAAAAAAAGAAGAAGGATGGAAGGCTGAGTCAATGCTGAGCCTGGTGAGACTTGAACTGCCAAATTGCAGGCAGCTGGCAATCAGCAGAAGTAGCCTGTAGTACTGCACACTAACCACTGCGCCACCGTGACTCATAAGCTATCAGAAGATTGCATATGGCAATCGTAATCACTGGGCACTTGGCAACTAGTCATAAATATGAACAGATTGCCAAGTGCCCAAAGGTTATGTGACTAGGGGAGCCCCCATCATGATGTTTTACAAAGGCCAGAATTAAAGCACCTGTTCCAAGATCATCTTGACTGTGGTCATTAAATGACCAGTTGTAAGTCCAGGACTATCTGTAAATCCTGTGCTAATGTTGTCATATTGATCATGATCATGATTACCAACAATTGTCCAAAAAATTGTTATTATATTTAGTAAAACTTATTTTTCAAGAGCTAACTTTCATAGAAAAAACATGCTGCTTAGGTAAAGCAGACTAAATATTATGGAAATAGGTATATGTTCAAATATATTGTTTGATTTGTGTCTAGAATAAAATGGTGAATGCAGTTTTTTGAGTCCAAAGTGCATTTTGGAATATAGGGAGTCCTTGATTTACGATAGGTTGCTTAGCAATGATTAGGACAGTTTGCCTCATTTTGGGGACTCGTGTCAGAATTCCACAAGAGGCATTGGCAAAGCTCTTGTTTTTTCTTTTCTCGATAGTCGCTAGCCTTTCCTCCCTTAGCTTTCACAGCCGTAAGAAGCTCTTTTGGCTTTCCTTTCCTTGCTAGCCCTAGCCTTCCCTCTCCTACCATTAGCATATTATCATTTGGCTTCTAATGTTGGGAGAGGGAAGGCTAGTGACTAGGCAGGGAAGAAAAGCCACCAGGATTTCTTCTTGCTAGCGGTAGCCTTCATTTCCCCGGTGATAGCTGCAATACGCTTGTGGAATTCTGTCATGTGGCCCAGCAATGGAACGGCCTGTTCCTCTTTTTGTTCAACTTGAGTTCTGGAGAATGTCTGAAAGGTAAATTAACAATCAGTGGCAGGGGTGGGTACAAGGCCCAAAGCATTAGGATCCAAAAGGATGGGAAGTAGAGCATGGGATTGGTTTCTCAGTGAGGGGAGGGGAGGCATTGGGAGGCTAGAGAGAGTTGTGTCTGCATTAGGGTCTCCCCCACCCCTGAGGCATCCCATATTCCACTTAACATTTAACGAATACATAGAAAACAGAGATAGGGACACAAGTGAAGCAGATCACTTAACACCCCCCCTAACATTCACCCACAATGGGGAGACTCCATTATGATTACCTGTGTTGTTTTCTCTGACTATTTTTCATCATCCAGCTCATGCCAGTTAGTGCAATAAGAGCTACAAGGTAAATAATAGATCTGGAGAGGACAGAGAACACAGTGTTGTATGATAAGATGCTAAGAAGAACAGAATGTGGGGCAGTAACAAAAACTTGATGGAAATCATGTTTGGAAAAAAAGTAGAGCCTCTCATTTTCTATTAATTAGCCTTAATTATCATCCTGGACCTTGAGCTTTGGTTTTAAGCATGTATTCCAAAAAGGCTTAATTCAAAGACATCGAGAAATAAATATTCCATATTCTTGGCTGCTTCTGAACAGCTAACTCCAAAAGATTCTTCTGAGACAGATCAAACCATACTTTCTTGATATAATACTTTATGGAGCTAAATGTGTATCATTATAATAGATAGATACAAAAATTTTGACCTCAATCTTCAAAACTTCTTTCCATTTGCATTGTGCAACAGCTTAATAACTAAATATACTGTAATTTGTCACTTCAGGCAATAAAATTGAATCCATTAGCACAAAGTTTATCCTTAAAAAATCTTTTTTCCCCTTGATAAGGGGAAAATTGCAGCCTAGTTTCTCTAGTCAAAGATTATTATGGTGTTTGAATAGCATCATGCAGTATTATTAATATATTTAATATACAGGTTCACTGTAATGGAGCCTAAAATTATGATCATAAGTCATTGTTAAGGTGATCACTACACAACAATGGTCAACTTTTATACCTTTTTTGCAGGAGTTATTAAGCAAACCCATTTTATCCAGTAGGCATTTTTTGCCAGAAACTGGAAGTAAATGCTAGTTTCAGGCAAAAAAATAATGACCATAGGAACCATAAGTGGCGATAAATGTGGGCTGATTGCCAAGTACCCAAATTGCAATCATAACTGTGTTGGGGTGGCCATTGGAATTTCAAAAACAGGTTGTAAGTAGCTTGGAAATAACCCTTGTAACTTTGTATGTTGGCTAGGTGATCAGTTGGTGGTTGAGGACTGTCTGTAATATTAATTCATTAACATACAGGCTCTGCATTTGGTTCATTTTGTTGGGGAATGACAATATTTGCTTTCAATTACAGGCAGTTAAAAATAAAGTTGACAGCATCTCCCTTCCTATTTTCTGGATATGAATATTTATATCCAGGTAAATATTTTGCAATTGCAGTAATTTTGATGAGGGTAAATAAATAATATGAGGAGTAAATGTCACCTGTAGAGTGTTTGTTTCTAAGCTTGTTGGCAACCTGGCTTCACAGATTGTGTTGCTACAATGGAAGGTTACTTAAACTTTTTCTAGTGATAGAACAATCTTGTTCTTTTTCTGTTTTTTTCTACCCATAACTTCCAGCCAGTTCTTTCATAGGCCTAACTAAAAGTACCAATGAAATTTTTCAACATTAATTGGTCATTATTGCCTTAGGCTATATTAATAACTTATCCTTGCAACTTGCTTTATCAAGAAATATGACATTTGCATTAAGTCTAATATATTAAATTTCATGTAGGATGTTATGAAAGTTACTACTTGATGCCCTATGTTCTATTAATTTACTCTGCAAATTTAGTTGCACATACTGCCCTTGAGACTCAAATCACAGAGATTTTCACCCATTAAAATAAAATACCTACAATAGAAAATAAGATTTTAATAAAAGTTGTTGAGTACAAATTCATTAAGAGAAGCCAAGGGCCTTTGTAATTTGATTATAGTGATTTTGATCTTTCTTTTAAATTGAATATTTATACATTTATTCCTCTGGTTATAGATTAACTTGTTAATAAAATATCCTAAAAATATATAACTGGGATTTTAATGCAGAGTGGTGTAAGTAATGTTAAATTCAGTTAGTCTCAATGGATTCAAATTTTTAAAATAATTGCATATTTCAATTTGCATACCATGTCCCAGTATGCTAAGTAACTAAAACTTTCCATAGTATAATGTCCTTGTCTTTCACTTTTTAAAGAAAGTTTTGCATTAGGCAAGATACTTTATATAGTGTTTGAACTTCTATAATTTATAGCAATGGATGCATTGTTTGTAAATCCATTTGACTTTTCAGTATTTCTACACAAAGAAGACCTAAGATGTGATCTGTTCTCCACACAAGTCCTAAAACTAGATAGAGAGAACATGTATTATGAATGTTCAAAAGTGACATTGAGACAGATGTGCATAGTATTGTAGATATCATGGGGGCTATTGCATTTATAATTTTGGGCAAATTGAGTGAAAGAAGTGACTGACAGCATATGAGATGCATAAAATACTGGAAGCTACAGAATATCCCTGGAAGAATTGCATAATATGGTGAGTTACAACTGAACAGAGTATAGTATAACACATTCTATATATGAGTCCTCTACTGAAATGCTTAATGGGTGCATTCACAGTTAAAGCAGTGGTCTTTACAGCTCACCAGATGACTATGGCTATACAGGTGTAGCGAGATATTTTCTTTAGGCCTGCTCTGTAGGTAAAGAATGTTTCTACCACTGAACAACTCTATGCTGCTTTGATCTTTGTTTTGAGGCAAATCTTAGTTTAACATAATGGCAACATGTTTTCTGCAAATCTGAAAGTAATTTTCAGGAGGAGGAAGAACTGGATGTACTGTACTGTACTGTAACCATAATACTCATCTCTATAGTGTTGAATTGTGATATAAGTTTGCATGGAAACTAGCGCTCTATATATGTGGAACTCTTCTGACTTTTTTGTAGAATTTTTGATCAGATATTATACTCAAACATGATAGGAAACTGGAGAAATTAGAAGAAAATGTTTATGTACAAAAAGCCTGACAGATTTTTGGAATGGAAAAAGCATTTCATCATGACTGCAGCCTTAAGTGAAACAGTGCAGATACAAATAATACCACCAGTAAGAGGTAATATTGTTATAGTGTACATAAAACTAAATATTTTTCCTCCCTTCTGTTTCCTTGTCAGATCCTGAAAATAACTTGTCTGCTTTGGGAAAGAAAGTTGAAGAGGCAGAAACTAAAAAGAAACAAATCAAAATGTGTTTCAGTCCTCACAGTAGGAAGCTGAAATTCACCCTGAAGACAAGCCCAAAGAAATTAGAGCAGCTGAAGGAATCAGTCAAGGACAGCGGGTCTTGTAACTTAACCTCCATCTATGACTTTGTTTCTTCACCTCCTCATGAGAAGCCTTTCAGAGAGGAACAAACACATCAGCAGAAATATAAGAAGAAGCTAAGAAAAAATACTTTAAAAGACTTCAGCAAACAGGGGGATATGTTCGGAGGCCAACAGGAAAACTCCAGTGAAAGGTATAAAGTAGGCCTAAATGAAAGCAAAGATCCAATCCCCAGTTCTGGCTCAAAAAATACCCCAGTGCTGAGGCTGATAACCGGGACAGAGCTTACAGAGAATGCAGGTGAACTCTCCACAAGCAATGTTAGACCTGTGAAACCTAAAGAGAAGAGTAGCAATTGCAACTTTTCTCTTATGCCTAATGTTTTTGTGGGAGATCTGACTTCTGAAGAGTGGCTTTCTTTGTCAAAGGAAACAAAAAAGTTAAAGTGTGACCGGCAGTTTGCTGGCTCTCCCATTTCTTTGCCCAAGAGTCACAAAATGAAAAAGGGGACTATCCAACAGAAGTCACGATTGCTGAAAAAGGCCTCAGAGCAGTTGCCTGGGAATTCTGTGGCGGCCTTTCCCCTCAGGGACTGTGCAGCTTCTTCCCCATCTCTGCCATTGCCTGGAATCACATCACCACTAAGGAATTTGGAAGACTTTGTATGTGCCAGTGACCCAGAACTTCCAAAAGTGTCTAGAAATTGTGCTGAAAAGGAGATGTTCCTCAAGAAATTTCCCAAAAACTTATCAGCCAAGAGAAACCATAAAGGGGAATCTTTACTCCATACTGCTTCTATTGAGGTAAACTAACCCCTGGAATATTTTTTTCTCAGTAATATAACAATTTTTCTATTTCTCTATAGAGTAAGAGTATAGAAGAGTAAGATATTTCTAAACCATTAAGTTCATATAATAGTCTACATCTTCTGTTTTCCAGAGATACTGCATTATAGTGTATGCTTTCTTTTGCTGTTTTGTGGATATTGTAGTCATGAAAAGAAATGCTCTTCAACATTGGGAATGCATGTAAGAATGTTTCAGTCATTAGAAGAGAGATGCTTATTATTCCTGTGTGTTGTAAAAATGTGTATAATCTTGGGTGAGTGTATATAGAAGCAACCCTAATTAAAATGTTCAAATTCCTGAAGGCAGAAGATTGGGGACTAATCTGTCCTCAGGGAGTACATGATACCAAAATATTAATGAAAAGGATGTCTTTTGTTCTCCCTTGGCTTTTGTCTGTTGTTCCAATAAGCATTATAAGTCCGGGAGAATGCCAAATTGTATATCAATTGCCTCAATTTGAAAAAAATAAAAATGGAGCATTTTCAAGATTATCAAACCTTACAAAATATTGCCATATTTGCTATTTTATGAAATTTTAAGTAAAATTGTGCAGTTGTGCTCAGGGTATGAAAATATTGTTGGTCCCTTAAATGCTGCATCTAGTATAGCTTCAGTGGTGGGATTCATTTTTTTTTACTACCGGTTCTGTGGGCATAGCTTGGTGGGCGTGGCAGGGGAAAGATACTGTATAATCTCCAGGAAGAGGTGGCATTTGCCAGTTCTCCGAACTACTCAAAATTTCCGCTACCGGTTCTCCAGAACCGGTCAGAACCTGCTGAATACCACGTCTGTATAGCTTGCTATAGTATAACTGATTTTACTGGAATTTTTTAACTCCAGCAATGAAGTATCCACAACTCTGGGATGTCCCAAAAGTGCTTTTCCAAAAGGCAGCTGAACTTTCTTGGTTTTTCCCTGAAAACGTTTCGCTTCTTATCCAAGAAGCTTGCCTTTTGGAAAAGCACTTTTGGGACAACAAGACCTGGAAGACTGAGAATCTCCATGGATAATCACCACCATACAAATTTGTTTCTTCAAAGTACCTAGTGGACTCCTCTGTCTGTCTGAGCTACTTTTCTTCCTGTCACTGGAACACTTGATGGAGATCCTACTTCAGATGCTTATGTGTTTTCTTCCAGGGGGAGGATATGAAATCAATTGTTCAACTCCAATGGCAGGGACAATCATCGTGGTTTTTTTTAATCTTCTGAATGACACGTTGCCATCAATCTTCCTATTGGGCTTCATTTTTCTTTGTAGTTGTTTTTTGCTTGCTGCATTTAGTTTGAAAACAGATTTCTGCCTTTCCGAGGTATTCCTTACTTTCATGGGTGAGACTCAAGAGTGGCTAGAACTTTCTCCTCCAGAATCTGATCAGTTTACACTAGGTGCAGGTGTAATCTTGGATAGGAATACAAACATAGTACACCTTCAGTTTTGTTTTGCGCAAGCAACTTGATTCTTTGGAATTCTAAAGCCCTTTCTCATGGGATTTTTAGAAGTGAAATTCAAGGAACCAATTTCCTCAAATTGCAAGGTGTTTTCTGGGGACCAGTTGCACAATGAAATGAAATTCCTTCCTCCTACTTCTTTCCAAAAAGGGATTGGGGTGACTCCAAATAAAGCTGTGGTTGCGCCTCCTATAAATCCTTTTCTCAGTCATGCAGATATTGCCAAACCAAGTTAAAAATTCCAAGACTGTTATACTAGCCTAAATAAGCAAATTAAAGGGGTTCTGTCTGCACATGTATAAACCAGATGGGACCAGCATCTGGAAATGGACATGATTACTTTAGCAATTTTGAAGATTTTAATAGCCCTAATCTTAAATCAGCCAAAATGAGTCCAGCTAAATTGATAGGCTGGTGAATCTTGCCTTCAGATGGGGAGTTCTTAGGATTTTTGTTTCTTTGTGTCTACTTCCCACTGGATATTTGTTGGAAATTAATTACAGCTGCCCTTAGTCTAAGTATCTTGTCTAAAGGGAGTTTAAATGTGATAGAAATTCATTCTTCTCTCTTTAGTCTTTTCTGGATTCCCTTGTTAGCCTGTCCTTGCTGGTAGACTGATCAAGAATTTCTGCTAGCATATCACTGGTGAAATTGGCATGTAGTTTCTTTTTGTATAATTGATTTTATTATCAGATTTTACCATGTGTGACTCCTTGTTAGACACATGACAATAACATCAATTAACAATTGTTGAGGCTGCCAGAAGAGCAAGAACCAGAACTTTGTATCTCCCTTAGCACCTTGAAGCAGCAAAAGAGGAAGTACCCTTGTGAATTCCTTAATTTTTTAAAATAACCTTTTCTTTGTGAAAATGGAAACAAAAATGGGTATAAGTATACAGTACATATTTGTACAGTATTTGTATTTTATTTATTACATTTAATATGCCACCCATCTCATTTGTTGGAGCAACTCTGGGCTACTTAAAAATGGTAAAAAGATAAACAAAAAAGTTAAAATTAGTAAGGATTAAATAGAGGCTAAAAGCTAAGGAGACAGACAATAATGGGAATGGAATTTTCTTTCGTATCCTATCAAGCACCTCTAGCACAGAGCACCCCCATCAGGGCCCCAAGCCACCTGGCAGAGCCAGATTTTAAGACCCTTCCGGAAGACCATTTTATGCAGCTATTCCAACTTTATATGATCCAGATTGCTAATTTTAATTTCTTTTTGTGGTATATGTCTTTGTAAGCCTTTTAGCCTATTTTGATTGAAGATTGCCAACCTTTTTTGTCTTCATGAACTGATATTGTCAATTTAATTTTGAATATTTGAATACTAATTCTCCTGTGCTGGTTAATGACCGCAATAAAGTTAAGTAAGATTTTATTAATGTTCACCTTTTTACCATGTGTGACTCCTGATTAATTTCTTAATTTTTTAAAAAAATAACCTTTTACTTGTGAAAATGGAAAAGAAAAAATGCCAGAGACTAATTTTAAAGCACAATAAACTCTTTTATGAGGGATGATGATGGTGATGATTTCTATCAACCTATATATCCCACCCTAGTAATTGTAGGCAGTATACAAACTAAAGTCTAAAAAAGCAAGTAGACACAGACTTAATAAAAAGAAAAAAAAACTTTTAGGGAAAGACACTGTCTTGAAAAGTCTGGAATTAGCTAAAAGGAAACGTTTCCTGTTTCGTCCTATTTCCCACCCAGCCATGGATTGTTCTATTTGGATTGCACTATTAAATAGCTGCAGCTATTTTCTGAATTTCGTATCCAATTAAACTTGTCAGTGTAATAGAAACTATCTCATGGGAGAGTAAATGGAAATTACATTTAATTCTTCTGGGACTTCATTAATTATCAGATAAATCTATACTGTTTTCATTACTATGTAGGGCTTAATACACCAAACTTAATGAAAATTAAATGAGTTCAACTTTTGGATTGTTTAAGAGAATCCGTTAAAAGCATTTAAAATTAAATATGTCGGTGTATTTCAGATCAATCTAAACTGAAATTGCAGGGTTGTCTTTCCTATTTTACAACTTTGACATTCATAGTAAATATCCTAAAAGCACTTTGGTTCTGAAAAATGATTCCAAAGTTTGATGAGTTTACAGTTGAACTGCATTAATAAATTGAAACAAATGTAGCCATTTGTTTGGTTAACTGGAATCCCTGTTTTTTATTACTCATTAAAAGTAAAATGAAAGCCAAAATCTCTGTTCTTGCAAACATGTCATGCACTCCTGATTTTCTGCAAAAAATTCCTCTACTTTGTGTAAGTGTACATAAATGCATACAAAGCTTATTTTTCATATGGATACCTTGAATGGGATCATGGGGCAACCGTACCAAAAGTTAGTTGTAAAATATTCTAAAACCAGGCAAAGCAAAATATATGGATAAAGTTACTGCTAACATGTTTAACTAGACTTGTTGATTTACAAATTAAAAAAAGTAGTAAACAGCTTTTGCAAAATGATTGATCATTTTGCTTTTCAGTTTCAGGCTTCTTTATAATGATTCACAAAGGCTGGGTGTCTTATAATAGCTCATTTAATGAGGTGGACCGGTTGCTTTCGTGCTGTGGAGACAATAATTTGGTCCTTAACACCAATAAGACCAAGGAGCTTATAGTGGACTATAGAAGGAATAGATCAGACATCCAGCCCTTGCTTATCAATGGAGACCGAGTGGAGCAAGTGTCCAGTTTTAAGTTTCTGAGTGTTATCATAAAAGAGGACTTGACCTGGGGTGCTCACATTGCAGCACTGGTCAACAGGGCCCAGCAGAGATCATACTACCTGAGACTTCTCAGGAAACAACAACTGAATGAAAAACTGCTGGTGACCTTATACCGCTGCACCATTGAGAGTATTTTAACTTACTGCACCAGTGTATGATTTGCCAATTGGACAGTGGCAGATAGGACAACATTCCAGAGGATTATTGGTTGCCCTCTCCCCTCTTTGAAAGAGCTTTATAGTTCCCGCTGCCTTAAGAAAGTTCAAAACATTCTTAAAGATCCATCTCATCTTGGGTATCCTTTGTTTGACTATTACCATCTGGCAGACAGTACAGGATAATAAAAACAAGGACAAATAGCTGAAAAACAGCTTCTATCCCAATGTTAACAGTTGTTAACATTGCAATATTGGGTTTTCAATTCAATTGTATAGAATATGAAGGGTGTGTGTTTGTGTTTTATTTCTATAGTTATACAAGGTGCAATGACAAAGTAAATAACTAATTTCAGTGATTGTCAAAGTTACAACAGCACTGAAAAAAAAGTGACTTATGACCATTTTTCACATTTACAACTATTGCATCATCCCTATGGTCACATGATCAAAATTCAGACACTTGGTAACTGACTCATATTTATGAAGGCTGCAGTGTCCCCGGGTCATGTGATCATCTTTTGTGACCTGACAAGCAAAGTGAATGAGAAAGTCAGATTCACTTAAAATGTGTTACTAATTTAACTGCAGTTGGTTCACTTATTTGTGGCAAGAGAGGTCATAAAATTGGGCAAAATTCATTTAACAAATGTCTCACTTAGCAAACATTTTGGGATTAATTGTGTTTGTAAGTTTAGGACTACCTGTACATTCATTTTTACCATAGAAATTCTCCCCAATAATGATAATCATAGCGTTCCCCTCTTTACCTGTCCTTCATTTCACTTCATACTTTCACATAGCTATTTTGAAATAACGTACAATTATCATCGTCCATATTAATCTTGATAATACCCAGATATTTTACTTTGTGAAGTGCATATCAATTGCACCCATTTAATAAATGTTTCTGAGCTTAATGAGGGGTCAGGATAGAAATAAGCATAATAATAAATAAGGGATAATTTAGCAAGAGCGTAATGCATATATTTGCTTTAATAATTGCTAGTCTTGGGAGAGGACAAGTAACTGTTACCAGGTAGACTGAATTCCGAGTGGAGGCGGTCCTATGGTTGAAAATCAACACCAGTTGAATGGGTTAGTTCTGCCACATGTCTGTTAGCATGATTACAATTAATTTGAGTAATCATATTTTTATCATTTTATGGTACACAATTTTTATCCTAAACTTGCATTCTTTTACTGTCATTTTTTAAATTTATAGAATATTTCAGGCATTTTTCATAATGAAGAAATTAATTTTAAAAGAGGAGTAAGAAGGGGCTGTAACAATTGTATAGTTCTCTAGATGAGGGAAATAAATAAAATCAGAATATCAATTAACTATAATATATATTTACCATTTAATATAAAGGGTGATTTTTAAAAATTTGTATTTCTAAAAAACTTCCATGTTTTATTTTATTCTGTTGGATATTTGATTCCCTCTTACCTTACTGATCTTCCTATTTTTTTAATTTGAGTTTATAGATCTTCAATAAACTTAAATTGTTTGTTAAAGTTTAATAAACTTTAATGCTTTTTCATTTCCCTTTTCTAGGGTAATCTTTCTGCTGTTGAATGCTTGTTGAAAAAAGGAGCTGATCCCAACATTAAAGACTATGCTGGTTGGACCCCACTGGTAATTTAAATGCTTCATTCCTTCCATTCTTCCTTTGTTCTTTATATCACTCTTGTAGAGACTATGTGATACAGGGGGTGATTTAGATGAACTCTTTCTCAGCTTGCCCTGAAAAAGGAAAAAAACTTCTTTTGTTTTAATAAGCTCAAATACTTTTGAGATCCTCTTTCTCTTGCTTTTCCTGTTATATTGTTTCTGAATAAAGATAGTTTCTTTCTTCAGGTGAATTTCTATTGCATTTTCAGATGCAAGAGAAATGGATTTTAAAAGTCTAAACAGAATCTGGAAATTGGTAAAATACATTATAGATAGTTATTTTGTGTTCATTTTTTCCTGCCAGATACTGTTAAGTTAACATAAGCTTTTTCCTTTGCTCATAGTGAAGATCCTGTAAGCTATCTCGGAGTCAGTCTTGGTTGCAATAAATAAAATTCATTTTCCTGCTTTATCAAGCTTCAGTTTTTAATTGAGCTCATTCTTATTCTGTCATTTCTATATTGGTTTTCCCCCATTCAACATTTAGCATGAAGCCTGTAATCATGGACATAAGCAGATAGTTGAATTATTGATAAGACATGGGGCACTGCTGGATGTGACTGGGTATGAGAATGATATGCCACTTCACGATGCTGTCAAGAATGGACATATAGAAATAGTGGAACTGCTGCTTCTGCATGGAGCTTCTCGAGACGTAGTGTGAGTAATTACTGTTCCCTTCCCCCTACCCCACACTCAATCCCACTTCAGGACAGAGGAGCGTGCGCTGGAAATGCGTGTTCAGGATGATGTCAGAGCATACCTTCTGACCCTCTCTGATGCCCAGCCCACAACTCTCCGTGCCCCTCCAAGCCCAGCTTGCTGAGGAGCGGGGGGGGGGCAGTCCTGATGCCTCTGATGCCCCCTCCCCCCATGGCCCTAGTCATCACTGCCCGGCTTCCTCAAAGGCGTGCGTTTCAAAGCCGGCAGCTTGTATCTGGTGGTGCCGAACAGTGGGACAGCTGCGAGAGCTGACCCAGACCTCTCCACTGTCCAACTTGCCAATGGGGGCGTTTCTGTTAGATCAGCCACACACCCCCGCCGCTGGGCTTTTGTTCTCAGTGCTTGGCTGGGGGAGAGCAGCGCTTCCCCACACCGCCCCTTCTTTCTCTTGGCCCCACCAATGAGGGAAGAAGGCCAGGCTTGGGGGATGGCCCCCACCCCGCAAGATCTGCCCCCGCCATTCTCTCCCAGCCCTCTTTTCTGGTGGCAACAGCAAATGTACGACGAAAGCGGAATGCTGGTTGCCATGCAAAGGCAAATACAAGGGTTCCTCCCTCCTACACTAAGGCTCCACTCATCACCACCGCCATGACAGGGCGACAGTTCTTTCATCCCTCTGCTGTGACAGGGCCACAGGGAGCCACAGCAGAGGGGCGAAAGAGCTGCATGCAGCTCCGGAGCTGTGGGTTGTCGACACCTGCTCTAGAAAAAGTACAGAGAAGAGCAACCATGATGATTAGGGGTCTGGACACTAAAACATATGAAGAATGGTTACAGGAACTGGGCATGGCTAGTCTAGTGAAGAGAAGGACCAGGGGAGACATGATAGCAGTCTTCCAATATTTGAGGGGCTGCCACAGAGAGGAAGGGGTCAAGCTATTTTCTAAAGCACCTGTAGGCCAGACAAGGATAAACTGATCAAGGGGAGATTCAACCTAGAAATAAGGAGAAATTTTCTGACAGTGAGAACAATCAACCAATGGAACAGCTTGCCTTTGGAAGTTGTGGGAGTTTCATCACTGGAGGCTTTCAAGAAGAGAAGCCATTTGTCAGAAATGGTGTAGGGTCTCCTGTTTGGGCAGGGGTTTGGACTAGATGACCTACAAGGTCCCTTCCAACTCTGTTAATCTAACCTGTATTAAAAATATTGAACTTTATTCTATTATTTTCAATCTACTGAGCAAATGTGAGTTAGGAAAATGAAGGGACAACACTGTGTTTGATGGAAACTTTGTAAACAAATATTTTCTTGCAAATAAGCTGCAAAAATACGTGCAAAAAAAAAGCAGGCATGGCCATGATAAGAGGAAAGAAAGACTTTAATTCATTATAACATTCTTAACTAATCAGCTCTACTGATTTGGGCATTACTGGTAGTCCTTGACTTACAACCACAATCAAGCCTCAAATCTCTTGCTAACCGAGACAGTTAAGTGAGTTTTGCCCCATTTTATGACTTTTCTTGGCTCAATTGTTAGTGAATCTCTGCAGTTGTCAAGTTAGTAACACAGTTGTTAAATGACTGGGTTTCCCATTGCTTCTCAGAAGGTCACAAGAAGTGACCCTGGGACACATGCCAGTTGCCAAGCACCTGAATTTTAATCACGTGACCTCGGGGATGCTTCAATGATTGTTACTATGAAAAAGGGTCATAAGTCACTTTTTGTAATTTTGAATGGTCACTAAACAAATGGTTATAAATCGAAGACTAACTGTACAGCCTGTTGAAAATTCTGGTCAGTGCATAATATGAGATCACTAAAAGGACCTGCTTAGTTAAAAGTGAACAATTTCAATGTGTTGCCTCCTTTTTTATATTTCTTTGCTGTTCTTTATCCATCTGTCATAAGTGTTAGTGGTTTAATTGTTTTTTTATGCAATTTTTCTTGTAAATATTTGGAGACCATAAAAATCCTGTAGTGCAGTTATAATTAGATGATTGGTAACCTAGTCTCATTCCTTGTTTACTTAAAATCTACCTTTCCTTTTACTAGTAATATATTTGGTCACAAACCTGTGGATTATGCTGAAACAGAAGAAATGAAATCGCTTCTAATGCAACCAAGAAAGAATGATTCTTCAATTATACAGTATGCAGAAGTATGTATTCTTTTCTTTGTTTAACTATAGTTTGGAATAATATAAAGCTAGCCTTGTTAAGTGAGGGCAATGTATAATTCTCAACAATATTATTTGTAATACTTCTCACTATTTTATCAAAGTAACAAAGTCATAAGAAATAAATTATAAGTTAAGAAAAACTTTTCTTTTTCTTCTCAACTTTTCTTTTATGTGATCTTATGTAACCATAATCATAGAGAGCCATTGCCTGATCAAAGGAACTAATTAATTTTGGCTCTCCCATGCAAGTAAATAAGCAGAGCATAACAAAATAATGTAGCAAAAATACAATAATAATATTATAAAATGAAGTAATAAAAAGAGTGTTAGGCATAAGAAAGTTAAAGCAAGATATAGCTAGATTTACAACTAAGAACTTAAGTATTTTTCTAAGTTTACAAGAGGGCAAAGTAGCAATCCGACTAACATTTGGAAACACAACTTTGAAAAATTAGTTCAGTTCAAGGCATGAGGCCTTGAGTTTACCTACCATCAATAATTTGGCCTGGATCTATAAATTAGGCAGTGGAAATAATAATAAACACCATAACATCTGGCAATTGACCAACCCCACAAGGAGAGAGACATGATATAACGGTATTTAAAAAGATCTTCCCTTGAGATAGTCTAAGGTCATGATTTGTGGGCGAAGGGATGTAGAAGACTTTCAGTGAGGAACTGATAATATTAATCAGGTACTAAGAGAAGTTTCTATGTCTTAAATGGTGATGTTACCAAAATTAAAATTTGGATGACTCTACTGTAGTGATATCTTTATTGGCATTTCTTTTGGAAAGCCTCACTCTAATATTTTCTCAGTTCCAAGAGATGAGTAGGTGATAGGGAATACATTTAGGATGGATGACAAAGGTTTGGTCAACTGATTCCAACTGTGTAATGAAGCAAAGAGAGTTTGGCAAAGTGGGATTCTGGAAAGTTTTTAAGTTCTTATAATAGCCACACAAGATCCATTCTAGCAATGATGGAAGGTAGTCTTTTCTTCAGCCTTAGATAAGGAGTGGGGGTGCTCTGGAGGAGGCCTAAAATTAGACAGCCTTGTGTGACTCCTTTCTCCAGATAAATAGGATCTTACAAGGACCCTTGTGGGACTATTATTACTCTAGCTGAAATGTCAGTATGTAATTCAGTTATTAATTTGAGACGTCACCTATTGATGTCTTGTCAGATGCAAAAATGTTACTGTGTACATTCAGATAACATATTTACATAATAGTATGAAAAAAAATACATTGTGAATAACATAATCCTTAATATTATGCATAATAAGTACTAAAACTAAAGATGCATCATTTCAACCGTTTGAAGATGTTTTGTTTTTCTGAAGATACAATAAAGCTGTACCCTAATTGGCTATATTATCTACCAGTTGAATTGCTGTGGGAATAAATCGGTTTTTCAGAATCTCATGGAAAAATTACTCTATATAGCTATTGAAGATGTCTTAAGCAACAAAAAATGGCTTTGGTCATGAGAATTAAGAGTGCAAGTTTCTGAGTAAGGAAATTGTGAACTAGATGTCTCCAAAGAAGTAGAAGTGACACTCTGACAGACCAGCAATGAGCCCAGTCAAAAGGAACTTCTCCAGATAAAGAAGCAGATGAGTTACTTGTGTTCTGGACAGCAGCTCCTCATGAGGAGACTGCAGAATAGCAATTTCCCTTGGGATTAATGCCAAGAGATAAGGAAAGCCATCAAGTTCTCAACTGTGGTATGGACTTTATGGGCAGTAGGTTTGTTGAACCTCACATTGTAAACAATACATTTGAAACAGTGATGGGATTAAAAATTTTTTTACTACCGGTTCTGTGGGCGTAGCTTGGTGGGCGTGGTTAGGTGGGTGTGGCCATGTGATTGGATGGGTGTGGCTTTTTTTGGCAGCCACTCCCACCCGGTTTTGAGGTCTTCTGGGCCTCAGAGGAGCCTGTGGGGGGAGGGTGGTTTTGCTCCCAAAAGGCTCCTCTGGAACTCAGGAAGAAAAAAAACAGAGCATGGGAGGGGCACGCAGCACCCCTCCATGCTCCATTTTGGGACCTTCCTGGCCTCAGAAGAGCTTCTAAGGGGGGCGTTTTTGCTCTCAGAAGGCTCCTCTGGGGCTCAGAAAGAAAAAAACAGACCATGGGAGGGGTATGCAGCACCCCTCCATGCTCCGTTTTGGGATCTTCCTTGTCTCAGAAGAGCCTCTAGGAGGGGCGTTTTTGTTCCTAGAAGGCTCCTCTGGGGCTCAGGAAGGGAAAAAATGGAGGGGGGGGGCTGAGCCCCTCTCTCCATTTTTTGCCTTCCTGGGCCTCAGCAAGGGGAATCCTTGCACAGCTGATCGTATGAACCGCTGATTGTTGGGAGGGGGGGAAAAAGAAAGAAATACCTTAAGGGGCAAGCATCAGGCGGGCAGGGTGAGCAAGCATCGGGCAGGCAGGGCAAGCGAGCCAGCGGAGACCGGGAGACTGAGTTGGGGGCATGGCCAGCCAAAACTTACTACCGGTTCGGCGACCCATGCCAAATCCTTGCTACCGGTTCACCTGATGCGGTGCGAGCCGGCTGAATACCACCACTGATTTGAAATGTAAAGTTGAAAGAGCTTTTCAAATAATGAGTTTAAAAAGCTACCTTGTGAATTAACCTTTCTTCCAGTACAAAAGTAAAATGAACCAACAGCTTAAATATTTTTTTAAATTGAAGTAAATAGCAATTTAATCTAAAAAAGTTACAGGTGAATTAACCAAACAACTTTGGAATATTAGGACTTTTGCTAACTGTTTTGGGAAATAATTAAACCAAACAGTACCTTTATGGGTATGTAAACTGTTTAGTCTGTAATAGAAATTTGAGATTTTCCAATTTTAGAAATGAAACATTAAGCACTAGACAATAAAAGAAGGAGAGAGAAACCTATATTTTGTGGAATCTACAAAATGACACACAATGCTATAACATTTTGAAAGATTTTGGGAGATTTTAAAGGAATGGGTTCAGAAACTACAATATCAGCAGCAATGCTTGCTTTTATGGATGTATTATTTAACAAAAGATTTTAAAGAAGAAATGGAAGACATGAAAGAGAGTATTTTGTAAGACTGACAAGATAAAACAGGCATGATATTCTTCCGATTAAAATCGGAATTCCGATTTTTTTGGGAATCGCCCCCTCCTTTCCCCCCACCCCTTCTTCTCCTCCTTCCCCTCCCCTCGGAGGCCCCGAGTCAGGAGTTGCTGGCGCGGCTCCGCGCGGCTCCAGTCCCGCGTTGCCTCAGGAAGGGAAAGGCAAAAAGGAAGAGCCGCGGCGGCGCTTTGCAACGGCAGCAGCGGCTCCTGGTTTTGCCTTTCCCTTCCCGAGGTAACGCGGGACTGGAGCTGTGCCGGCGGTAGCAACTCCTGACAGCCCCAGCCGGATACCTGAGCGGAGCCCGGGCAGTGCGAGCGGAGGCCGCTGAGCGGCAGGAAAAGGGAGCTGGGCCAGCCACAGACCAGCCTCCGTGCAACACGCCGCCGCCCGGCCCTGGCGAGGGAAGGTAGCGGGCGCTCCCCGGGCGCGCGGCGGGGGGTCTCTTTTGGCCGGCCCCGATTTTTTTTTCAGAGTGCCTGATAAAAGAGGTAAACAAATATTATCTGATGCAGATACACTGAAAAATAAATTCTGAATTATAAGACAGAGATGACAGGCGTAACTTTATTATTGGATTTACAAATGAGGGTTGATAAAAAAAACTTGAAGAAACCTTTGAGATGAAAGAAAGAAAGATAAAATTGAAGGGAGATCAAATCCTACAACAGTTTCTGAATGAATTAAAGGACTAAGATACAGAATCTTAAGTAAACTACAAAGTCAATTTGTTTAATTGGATTAAAATAAGACATATTTTTATAAAATTCTGAGAACCTTTTACAAACTTCTTGCAGACATCTGAACTGAAATATTAACTGTTCATGAATTTATGAATGGGCAAGGGATGGTTATGGGAAGAAGTGATCCATGTATGTAACTTTCGTGGAAGGTGGAGAAATGTTACATTTGTTATACATGTGATGAATATTGGAATTCATTTCTTTAAATAATGCTTTTTTAAAACTTTTTCTTTGCACATTTTCTTTTTTCTATTTTTTCTCTCAATTTGTATTTTGTTAAAATCCTTAATAAAAAGTTATATATTGATATAAACATAAATGGCTTTGATAATCACAAAGGGCTTCTGGTCCTATTAAAAGATAAAGGGAAACCTTTACCTTTTAATAGGCCAGAAGCATTTTGTGTCTGGCTCTAGAGCACAGAGCTCATCTACCTTTCTTGGTCAAGGGAGGCAATGTTGTCCGAAGATGATTTCCATAGTCATGTGGCCAGCATGACTATATGCCAAAGGTGCACAGAACACTGTTACCTTCCCACGAAAGTGGTACCTATTAATCTACTCACATTTTGCATGCTTTCAAACTGCTAGGTGGGCATGAACTGGGACACATTCCTGCCCACCTATTGTGGGCAGCTGGCAGCAGAGTTGGACAACAAGGAGTTCGGGGAGGAACCTGGGCCAGTCCTGGAGACTGAGGAGACTCAGATGAGGGATCTGTGTCAGAGGCAGAGATGGGGCTAGGGCAGGTTAGCAGTCATCAGCTGCCTTTGGGCTCAGACAGCAGTGAGGCAGGGGAGCAGCTGGAAATGGTTCCCAGCCTGCGCATGCACAGAGCTGCCAAAAGGAAAGAACAATTATGAACTTAGGGTCGACGTGGGAGTAAGGCCACAGGTGGATGATGAATGGCCCCTCTCATAAGGTTTAAAAGAGGAGCAAAAGGGGAGGGGGCTTTTGCAGGAAACAATTCGTTTGTTCGTTCCATCATTGTGAAGATCTGTCTGTGCATTCTGGAGACTCTGTGCTAAGCCCTTCCTTGTCAGCTCTGCATTTGGAAATATTAACCGGGCAGCTTTCCAAGATAGATAAGGTTTGAGCTCCTAATTATACCCTTGAGAGACTGTTTGCCAGGCCATTGGCTGAATGTGAATGCAAGAAATTCACATTCGTTTAATAAAAGGTGTTTGGTCAGGACAAGGAGTTTGCCTAGTGCTTTTGGGAGAAGCCTAGGACAGAACACCACCTATCACTGATGATGTTGCCTAGTTTATGTAATAAAACATCAGCAAGAAAACAAGCAAGCTCAGAGAGCATCAATGACCCCTCATGCCAACCCAGAGGTACAAATATTCTCCTTTATTAGTACTGGGGCAAGTAATGTGGAGGTTCAGTCTTGAGCCCAGGCTGTCAGCTGTCTAGCTGACAAACTCAAATACATTTCATCTACTTTTAATTATGTCCAGAAATTATATCAAAAATTATGCTTATTTTGAAATAGTTCTTTATTATGTAATAGAAATGTTGAGTAAATTTGAGTTTACTATTTTTTTAAAAGGAAGAAAGAAATATAGGCTGTTGGGAATTTAATAGCTCTCTCTTTTGTCTTTAGTGCAAAAACCTAAATTACTGTAAAAAAGGACCTGTTGTTCTCCTTGGGAGTGGTCTTGATCCAGATCAACAGCTGATGTTAAGCAAATTGGCCACAATTTTGAAGGTTACAGTATGTACAGATTTTAACAATTCTGGTAAGTTGTTAGATTTATTTAATATAATAATACTTTATTGTTTAGCCATAAGGCTATACAAGATACAGAATTATATTATATAATAAGACAAGGATAGCAAAATACAGTAAAAGGCAAAACTAAAAGGAAATACAAATTGTATTTCTGGGTCACCTCTCATAATTTGGGGAATGTACTGTTTTGTTCACATAAAGAGCCAAATTATGCATATATGGGTTCTGAATGCACATGAAATATATTGTATTAATGTTTAGATCTCAATAGGCCATTTGTTTAAAATGTGATCTAAGATATTGATCTCTATCTTTTTTACACAATTGGCATTCAAATAATGTATGAACTATGTCTTCTGCATCTGGAATTCCACCAATACATGTACATTTATCATGAGGAACTTGGTTAAACCTTCCATATTTAACAATTATGTTCAGTTACTCAAATCATTGAGCAAGGACCCTCCTGTATCCAAGCCATTTTTGGAAGAAAGTAAAGGACTGCCTCCGCTTTAGTTCCGTCCACCCACCAGGTCAGCCTTTTTCATCATCTGCCACCAACTCTGCCCACTGCTGTGCCCGC